TCCCCAGTAAACATCACCTAAAAACTCAACAATGTAACTTATGTAACACAAGTGTTATACATTATGTTGTTGAGTTTGAAATTATAACACTGATGTTACGTTACTTTAATTGATGTTTACTGAGTCTCTATCGCTCCGAGATATTTGTGAAAATGCAGGACTCCGCGTCTTTTAATGTTTCTGATCGTTAACTTTAACCCTGGATCGCACCATTATCTTTTTTTTTACACACTCATACTTTTCTTTCATTAATACTAAGACGTGCGCAAGTTACTTTGTCTCTTAACTTGTCATAATTAGACCGATTTTAGAGACGGACGCCGAAGCAGAGATTAATGCCGAGCAATATTTGTAATACACATTCGCGGAATACTGAAGGAGCACGAATTTATAATTTATATACTCTTTTTCATAGTTCCTAATTCTGTTTAAAGATGCATCGCATTAAGTTCCTTCGGTATACCAGCCCTAAATTCGGTCATAAGCGTTGATACAAACTGAGCTGCTTCTTCTCCCTATCTCGATCAAGTACAGTCAGACATTATAAAAATCTAATCAGGCTTCTTTCAAAAAATGATACTACAAAAAAAAGGAGAAGAAAACAATAAAAACTCGTCGAATATTGAATATACCTTATCATATGATTCCTCGTTATCAAATAATATACGGGTTTCCTCTTCTTTTCTTCTTCTTGTTTCGTACGCAATATAAGTGTATCGTTAATTTCTCGATTTATAACTATCATATTTATATTCTCACAAAGTTTGAGTTAATATTAATTTATATATAAGTCCTATACATATATATATATAACGAAAAATCTCGTCGAGATCGACCTATCCATCCACCGCGCGAAAATTGGAAGTGCATACCTCTCGCAAACTCTCGAAAGGAAAAAAGAATAACATCGAAATCGGAATTAATTATTAATCCGGAATAGAATGCGAATATTCGCCTAAATGTTTTTTTCTTAGTCTCGACATATCTTTTTCCTGCCATTCGTGAATAATTTTCTCATACAGTTCTAACATCCTAAATTCTTACACTTGAGATAGAAAGCACAAACTAATACGAGTCAATTTACAGATGTTGGAACATACAGAACAAATTTTTCTTTTTCTTCTTTAATTAAGTAGACTCGTCTATACATGTATCTCTCGAAGTTGATCATAACCAGTAACAATATAATGAAATCAATGAAAACATCTAAAATGTTTTAATTGAATACAAATATTTGTTAAAAATAATTAGAAAAGTATACAGAGAAAAAATTTGCTATGAATGCTAATCCTATGCCATGACGGCAAATTTATTTGCATATATAAGGATCAATTATTTACAAAAGAATAAATAAATGTTTATTCTTTCTTGTACTCGCTAACAAAAATTACTTGCAACAATTGTAAAATATTTGTCAAATATACAAATTTGTTTGCTATAAACACAAACAAATTTGACAATTTGGTAATCCCTTTGCGTTTATAGCAAATTTTTTTCTGTACGATAATTCAAAAACTTTTACAAACTTTAGGTTTACACTCACCGACTTTTCTGATAAAAACAAGAATTGAGAACCTTAAGGTTACAAATCTCGAAGTAATATGACCAACTAAATAATCATGGTGTTTCTTAGAAGAAAATTCAATTAGCAATCGTTGCTTATTTTGTGGCCACACAAAGATTACTTAACTCATTATCTTAGTACTTCTGGATATGTTTTATACTAAAAAATATTATATTTTACATACAGAACAGTAAGGAATTTATATATTCTGCTGATTGGCTTGTATTAATTCATTCTTTCCATCTTTCATCTTAATCGAAGACTTTATTTCACTTCTTTCATTTTTTTCTTTCATTTTTAGTTTCGCCCAGTGGATGTCCTGATCGTATAATGGATACGACGTAAAATGAAAAGAATAAAAAAAAACAAGATACGAAAATCTACGAATCATGATATCGCTTAAAATAACTAAATACTTCCAATATATTCATTTTTCGATGATACGATGACATTCGGATGACATATAATACAACATTAGGAAAGATGTATCTCGATAATGTTCGATGCAAATACAACCATACATACAGAACCACAATTCGTTCTACACAAAACGTCAATTAAACTCCAATATACATATGCGTGTTCGATTATTTGTTTCTTCCTCCTCACGGTACTAAAACGAAATATTATATGTCGTTATACAGTGGTTCATAAGAAATCTAGCGCGAGTTTTCTTTTTTTTTTCTTCACGTCTCTAAACGACAAGACAGGCACTTTATAGTGTCACAAAATGCTCCTACGTCTGAACCTTGTTTTATAGTTTCATTGATCTTTCGTTCTCCCTCTTTTTTATAAGACACGTTAAAAACCATTATATTGGACTTACAGCGAAGAACACACGTGATGTGGACAAACGTCCTCGGAGACATGTTCTTATCAACTAAGTAGTAAACCATAATAGTAAGTTCAATGTCTTAACGTGTCTTTCATTCGCTCTTTTCTTCTCTTTAATGATACAAATGAGAGAAAGTACTCATCTCTTTGTCGTAAAGCTCTAAATTAGCGGCCTCAAACGAGATATGCATTTGTTACGCGATTGGCTAACGAGAGCATGTGTGAACCAATTTCTTTACATTGAACGCCAACATAAAAAAAATTGCGATATTTGTAAACGAGGAATTTGCTCAAACACAGTTTCTCTTTTAATACAAGAAAACTGAATCAACAACGAATCAGATATTCAGCGATTCAGAATGCGATTCTGTTAAAAACGTTTAAAATAAATTAGGTTATCGCTTACGCATCTATCGTCGCATTAATTAGATAAAAAACATTGAAAACATATTGCTCTGCTTCATCATAACTTCCGTCTAAAATACAAGTCCGACACGAAGATCAATCTCCTTTCTCTGTCTTTCTCTCTCTCTACGATCTCTCATTAAACAATAATATTAGAATAGGTTCTATGTATACTTGTTCACATTTCTTTGTGGTATTATCTAATAAGGTTCTCGCTATAAATAATATGCGTTTTTTTTTGCTAACTCCAATCCTTTGAATTTTCTCTTGCTCTTTTTAGAGTTAGTAATACTAGTTTTATATTTTTAGAAAATAACTGACAATTGCTTGTGTTTCCTCGATGACAATCCATCCGAATTGTGGCAAAAGCACGTCACAGGCAACAGTAGATACGGTAAAGCACATACGCGTTCCATTTTGTCTCTTTCTTTTTCTATTTCCTTCAAAAACTAAGTTAAGACTTTGTGAGTCCATTGCACTCAATTGTAATTATGAACTTTATCGAGGAAAACAAGGCCTCTGCCGTCAGATCGCTCATAGCTCTTTTCTGATTTAACTTTGTGTTTGTGCTCGCAACGTGCGAGAATCGAGCATTTCTTTTTTTAAAAACTCTGCGACCATTTTTCCGATACTTCGTCACGGTATCGAATAAGTTCTATCTATCTATCTATATGACCTATATGCGTACGTAATGGATATATGTATGCATCTGTGTATACATATGACAATATAATATTCACATATGATATACACATATGTATGCATACATATATATATATATGTATATTCATTTATGTGTGTATATATATATATATATATATATATACGTTTATATTCATTATTTATTATATATTATTGAATTATTGTGCCGTTTCCGTTTTGGGAGGGTGATTCATTATTTCCTTCTTTTCCTCTGCATAACCGTACTCTTGGAGTCACATCTTATAAATCTACAATCTAAACGCCACTGTCTCTTAATGACCTTTGGCAGCTTCCTTCGCTGCCATTATCAAAGGTGTTAACGAAGCTAGTGGCCTCGCTAATTTCAAAAAAGGATGCTGCAACGCAATTTAAATACATATTTCCAGTTAAATCAATTTGAAATATGCGTATATACATATATCAGAAACGCATTTTCGCGTTTATATATTAACGAAACAAAATTTTCTTCTTACCTTTAATAATTCGGAAGCTGCGGACCGTTTCTCCACCTCGACTTCTAAACACTGGTCCAGGAAGTCTTGGAATATACCCGACAACTTATCCTTTTCCTTGATTTCCGGTTTACCGTTTGTCGCAATCAAATACAACGCTCTCAGTGGATTTTCGTTCAAATACGGCGGCTCTCCTTCGATCATCTCGATTGCCATTATTCCCAACGACCATATATCAACCTATGAAACAGAGATACATTATTACGATTAATACGTATTCAATTCACTTTTCAGGGTGTTTACTGATAGGGTGTTTACTTTTGTAAAAAAATTCGCTGAGAATTTTTGAATTTTTCAGGCATTTTTGTGCAAATTCCAAATAAGAGTAGGTAATTTTGTAAATACAATTTTGAAATTGAGAAATCTAATTGAGAAATAAGATAGTCTAAGAAAGAGTACTCTCACTACAATATAATATCAGTGAGCTACTCCATTCTGTTGAGTACTGTGTCTTTTACTGTTACACTTATTTTTTAGATAAAAACTTACACATAAAAATGTAAGCGTGAATATATGCGGATACACATGCTATAGTTATTATTAATTATCAACATTTTCCATTATTAAAAATAATATTTTCGGAAACAGATGGAATTAGAATAAGTAAAATTTCAGAAATTTCTCTGAGTACCGAAAAAATTCCGTGAAAATCTTTGATTTCGGAAATGTTCAAATTTCTTTTTAATAAAAGCGAATCTCCTCAAAATTCTAGATTTTTTTTTGTTTTTATTAATAATAATCGATATATATATATATATATATATATATATATCTACCTTAGGTCCATATTGCTTTCGCGTTACTACTTCCGGCGCCATCCAATACGGCGTGCCAACCATCGTCGTTCTTTTGCTCTGTTCCGGTGATATTTGCGCACAAAAGCCAAAGTCCGTTAACTTTACCCCACCATCAAGACCCAACAGAATATTATCAGATTTGATGTCCCTATGTATAACCTGATTACAATGAAGGAACTCAAGCGCCTGTAGTACTTCTCTGCACACCGCGGCAATTTGGCCTTCGTCCATACAAGTTTCAGTCACAACATCCGTTAAACTACCACCTGGTAAATATTCCATGACTACCCACAGTTCTTCCCCAACTAAATAACTATCCAAGTAATTTACAACATTCGGATGCTTATTCTCCCGCATTACTAAAATCTCGTTTATTATAAGCTCTTTCTTTGGCTGTTGCGACAGATTCATTTGTTTTATTGCAACTTCCATGCCGGTGGACGTTTCTATTGCTGTGTACACTGTCCCCGAGGCACTGCAAGATGATCATTAATTAGTACTGATCAGTACAGTTTTAGATTCGATACGAAAAATTATTTATTGGTCGTTGCCCGCTTACCCTTGTCCTATTTTTTCCATTTTCGTATATTTTCTATTAGGATCTCCCACGCTCACGATTGTTCTAAGTTTCTCTAATATCTCATCGTCTGACATCTTCTTCTTTCTAGCTTTATCGCCTTGTGCTGGTCGCGTCTGATCAGTCGTTGTTGACGTCGGCGTTGCTTGATTCTTATTTCTATCTAATTGCGACTGGTGTTGTTGTTGCTGCATGCCATTTCGTTGTGGCGAGCCTAGCGTCGTCGTTAAGGGTGGCGGTGGTTCCTCTTCTATAGGTTTGGTGTACTGCATGATGAAAATAAAATGTTCCAGATAGTAAAATGTCACAAATAACGAATTAATCAAACGCGCATCTCTTAATCGCGTTCAAGTGAAAGAAAAGAAAGAGACTTTCTTCGAAGAAAAAAACTTACGATCGATTTCGTGCGTTCTGGTCGGGCGGAGATCGGCGGAGGTGGCGGCTCATCCTCCTGCTCCGAGCTAGTCGCACACGCGTCCGTTGGAGTGCTACTTGGACTACTGCTACTCACCCTATAACGTTGCCGTTTCTCAGAAAATATTTAAGCGACGATGGGACAAGGGCAACGCGTAAAAGACTCACCTGCTTAACGAATGCTGAGAATGGGAGCTACCAGATGCCTGCGACATCGCCTGTCCGCGAATATTTCCCACTCCTGTGCCGATACTCATTCCCATACTTCGCGGACTACTCGCTCTTTCGATTGGAGCTGAAAAATTATTATCGTTAATTAAGATAATTATTATAATTTCATTAAAATCAAATTATTTTTATAATATAAATTATAAGTGATTAATATCAGAACTTA